CCTTTGCATTCATGCCCCTAAAAGCTTCACTCTCACAGCTATATGCAGGTCCTTTTCATTCCTCTTTTCTCTTCCATCTTCTTCCTTTCCCACTTTACATTACAAGCTAGACAATTCCATGGCATCAAGTGGTTGCAATCAGCCTGGATTACAATTGTACTTTGTCCTTAGAAAATAGATCCAGGACATGATTACAGTAGATAGATAGACAGATTTGGTGTGGGCTATATAGGGTGCTAGAGTTTGATTATACAGTATAAATAGCAGCTCATGTGAGCGTGCGCATACATACGTGTGCTCTGCTCTTTGCAGTGTTGCACGAGTGCGCCCACCCAGCAGCCATGATCTTTCTCTAGATCTCTAGCTATCTATAAAGATCCGTTTCACCTTCTTTGGTCCACACGCATACAACATATATACACGATCGATCGATCGGTGGACAAGCTGTGGCCTCCACACGTTGCATCTAGTAGCAGTACGTTGAAAAGGTTGTGCGCTTGATTTCAGTTCAGAAGACATCGAGCTTGCTTGCTAAGGTAGATGCTATCAATGGACCAGCAGCATGAGGAGGAGTCGTGTGTCCCCCCTGGGTTCAGGTTCCACCCCACAGAGGAGGAACTGGTGGGGTACTACCTGGCCAGGAAGGTGGCTGCCCAAAAGATCGACCTCGACATCATCCAGGAGGTTGATCTCTACCGGATTGAGCCATGGGACCTCCAAGGTACTGCCATCTGAATTTTGAACTGAAATCATGACAAGTAGTATTTTGGAACTGAGGGAGTACATACGTAGTGTTCTAGTGAGGTGGTGATTCAAGTTGAATATTAACAATATTGGATGGTGCAGAGAGGTGCGGCGGCGGCGGCAAGGGAGGACGGGGAGCACGTCAGGTGGCGGCGGAGGACGAGCAGTCGTCAGAGTGGTACTTCTTCAGCTTCAAGGACCGCAAGTATCCCAGCGGCACCCGCACCAACCGCGCCACGGCGGCCGGGTTCTGGAAGGCCACCGGCAGGGACAAGCCGGTGATGTCGTCGAGGAGCCGAGGGGTCATCGGCATGAGGAAGACGCTGGTGTTCTACCGGGGCCGTGCACCTAATGGTAGGAAGACCGACTGGATCATCCACGAGTATCGCCTCCAGACCAGCGAGCACGCGCCCACACAGGTCAGCAATCCATCAATTCTTTCGTTGTTCTTGTTTCTTTTCTACTTGAGAATTTATCATTGATCGTGATGATGCAGGAGGAAGGTTGGGTCGTGTGCCGGGCGTTCCAGAAGCCGGCGGTGAACCAGAGGCCGTCCTACATCTTCCCGCCGCCATACGCCGCTCCGGCCCTCGGGGGCTACTACGATACGCGGCCTTGGCTGCACGGCCAAGTCGGCGGCGACCACCATTTCCTGCAGAGCGCCGCTGGCGCTGCCGGAGCCGGCGCACTCGGGTTCCCCGGCCAGGGCGCCCAGTATTGCTCTGACGAGCTGCTAGAGTCCAAGCAGAGTCTCTTTGGCAGCATCCCGCGGCTCATCGAGAGCCCGCCGACGACTACTGCCGTTGCCGGTTACGGCGACGCTGGGTACGGCATCGTACAGCAGGGAGAGGCGGCGGCTGGCGTCGACTGGAACTTCCTGGACAGCCTGCTGTCCACGTCGCAGCTGCACGAATACTCTGCTACGGCTGCGTCACAGCTGCACCTACAGCAGTGAAGTACAGTTAGCGGACATACCGTAGCAGCATCGATTTCATTGTATACATGATTTGGTAATAATTAGTATCATTGAGTACAGATGGTAGATGATGTCCATGTGCATCTGTTGCACCTCTCGACACTTATACGTACATACACTACTCTGTTCCACTTACTGAGTCCATGTGTTCTACTGTAGATCACTCTGTTCCACTTACTGAATAGTGTTTGTGTTTCACTAGACAACTCTATTTCACCTACTACTTCCTCCGTCTGGATTACTTGTCGCGAAAATGGATGTATCTGGATTTATTTTTATCCATTTCGGCCACAAGTTGTTTGGGATGGAGTGAGTATATATTTCAGGGACAGTTTTTTCGTCGTACACATGCTTTGCTAATAATAATCCAATACTAATATTACAGGCAGTATAGAGGCTAGATGGTGGATCTCCATGTCCATGTGTTTGTGTTGCACCTGGTTGACACTTGTACCTAGCATAGTGGCGTGTGTTCTAGTTTTCAACAGATATATAGAGCACTCTGTTCAACTCAATGATGAATTAATTGAGCAGCTGATCATCATCACTCAGTAGTAGATGTTTCACTCAATCAACAACCTTTCATTTCGCCATATGCGTGATATAACTTTGGTTGATCTTTCTGGGCCGTTCACGAGCGGTTAATTAAATGTATGATGTTCCCACGCGGATTATAGTTAACATCGATCGAGCGTGATAGTGAGTGGATTAATTGAGTTTTCCCTGAATCATCTTTTCTGGTGTAACTAATTTACGCGTCATGAGATTTTAGGTTTGAATCGTAATTAAGTTGAGATGCAGACAGATGGATGGGTCTCCTACTCACCATCTATAGTCAACAAAGTGACAGGGACTTGCACTGCCTTCATCAAGCTTTTAAATCTAGGCTGATACGACCGATATATAGGCCAGTATATCACTTTTGGGGCTCTACCGATATAAACATAACATATCATTCTGTAAATATCATTTTCAAACGTATCATCCGATACGGACCGAAATATCGACCGATATGGCCGATATCTAGCTCGATATGTCCACCTAGTGGCGGAGCCAGCTCGGCCGGCGAGCCGGAGAAAGTACACGGCGTTCCTGTGTTAGGGCTACTGTCCACCGGTGGAGGCTGGCTTGGTTTAGTCCCACCTCGCTTACGGGAGGAGGCTGGCTTGGTTTAGTCCCACCTCGCTTACGGGAGGAGGCCATGACCAACTTATAAGGGAGAGTATCCCTCCTCCTTTCAGTCCGGGCTTTTGGGATGGAGCGGGCTCTCTGCTGAATGTTGGCCCATGTGCGCATAAACATTCAGAACGTAAGTAGAGTGTGGGCTAGATCAAGTTGGACGCTAACATCTGGTATCAGAGCCAGCATCGCCATGCCTTCCTGAGGGGCTTCTCAGGGGGATGGGATGTTAGGGCTGTTGTCCACCGGTGGAGGCTGGCTTGGTTTAGTCCCACCTCGCTTACTGGAGGAGGCCATGACCAACTTATAAGGGAGAGTATCCCTCCTCCTTTCAGTCCGGGCTTTTGGGATGGAGCGGGGTCTCTGTTGAATGTTAGCCCATGTGCGCATAAACATTCGGAACGTAAGTAGAGTGTGGGCTAGATCAAGTTCGACGCTAACATCCTGTCTGCCAATTGTTTGCCCCTACAAATCGTTGGTTAGCCCTCCATTTACTCCTCCTATTCAAACAAGAATGCATGGCTGAGCCCGGGCAGCTGCCCCGAGTAGCCGGGAGGTGGCTCCGCCACTGTTTCCACTGATATAGAACGATACGTAGATGACAACAATTCTTACTGGAAAGGAGTAAAATAAGATTATGAATTTACAACTTCATAATATATTATCAAAATCATGAACAATATGTTTCATACAAATGCATATATATTGTATGGTTTTTAATCATAGAGTAAGGATTTTGTGAATCTTTCCTCAATAGTTTCTTAATCAATAAGTTAATAAACTATAAATCTAAAACTTTTATGTTAATGTGTTGAATCATAGTACATGTTATTTTACTAAAAATAAATGCTTTGAACAAGAATAGTGAAAAAATAGACATGTTTTCTCCGATATATCTACATATCCCCAGATATCCGACATCCGATATGTTGAAGTCAAACTGTATGAACCCGATATCCAGTATTTTGAAGCTTGGCCTTGATATTATGTATCTCGAGTACATATTGTTGCTTGTGGCTGTTGTATAATGTTGATCATTAAAATGCTCTTTTCTGAATGGGATCAATCGGTCGGTGAATATGTATGAGATCGATGAAATGCATAATAAACATAAAGGAAGGGGATTTAATTCTGCTTCATAAACTTACAAAAAAAATCGTATTTCTAGATTTTTATATATTCCGGGATGTAAAGCTAACATGCAGGTATTCCTTACTCATGAGAGTTTCTAATCATGTGGCAATGATATTTTGCAAATATATAAAAAAAATCATGTTTCCTGTCACAACATCACTAATTATCGTGTTATGTTGCTGTTTTTCATAGGCCACTGACATCATCGTCGTCGCCATCCATATTACTACTTTTGTAGTGCAATATTCACTAATGGTTTTTTCAGGCGAGCTGAGCATAGCTATACTTGACATGGGTGCTTGCAATTTTCTTGATTTTATTTCATGCTTTCGGTACTACTTTATTAGTGGTACCGTGTGTGCATCAATTACATGGTGTCTATGGCAACTTCATCTATCTCAAAATCTGTCAACTCAATATGTCGATGGTGCTCATAGGGTTGTGTATGTGTGCATGTGTTTTCTGAGCATCTATGTATGTACTATCTTTCACAAATGAATGAATCTTTTCAAAACAAAATATGCCACACTTTTTGAAATATATTTGGAGACCTACATTTTTATTGCCTTCTTCCACTAAGTATACAAGTAATATATCTAATGAAAAAAAATCATGTCTTACAATTTTTTTATAATCTTGTAATACAAAATATATTATAAAAAATCATACTATATCAGAAATACAATAAATCCAAATATGGCACACCACGGTATTAACCATATACATGAATATCTGACACAATTTCTTGTCATTATGTTGAACAAATTGAACAAGTGCTTAAGTTTATTCTTGGGCTATGCCATGTATGATAATAATTTATGTGTGCAACTCACAAAACTTGCAGTATAATGTTTACCATCGAAATCGAAAGACTTCATGTACTATGTTTATCATGGACCATTCTAAAAGTGATGCATGAAGGAAATTAAAAGGTAAATGGAACATGTTATGTTTTTACTAAGCATAAGAGTATGTGCATTCTGAAAACCATAGAGACTTCTTGCTTTCTTTAATTGCACTTACATTAGGAAGAAAATCATATATGCATAGGGATAACACTCCTCTATAACATCACTACCTCTCATTAGCCTCTGTGTGGGAGCTTTTAAACATACCACATTTTGAAATATATTCAGATAGGGAGCCTCCCCCTCCATCCCGGGGTCCATTTTAAAAAATCCCAGGTTTTTGGGTCCCAGGTTTGTTTCACGGGTCCTACTTCATGAGATTTCTCGGTTCTTCTTCAGATTACTCTCATTTTCCGTACATCTTTGTTTGTGCGCCCTGCAGCGATATAGAGGCGGCAATGGCATCACGGTTGGCATAAGTCTACCTAACATTCTTAGGGTCCCAATGATGTACTCCCCAATGCCCGCGGTGGACTTTTAAGGGTTTAGTCTCGTGAACCTTGTTGTGCAATGTGTAATGTCTGTTTTCTGTCTTAAGCTTTCGTCAGGAAGTGGCGGTAATGGCAGTATGATGTTTTTTCTTGTAAGGGTTTTCTCATTACGATGGTACTCCACTGGTCAATGGAGTCATCCTGTAATTGTAGGTACCCTCAGCATGGTGTTATAGTCGTAAGCTCCTCAAAGTTTCAGTCGTGTAATTAACCATATTGTATATGAAATAATAGTGTTAGAACCCCTAAGAAAATTGTTTTCCCGGAAGACAAGTTTAATTCTATCAATTTTCCATGTTTTATACAAATTCGGAAGGGTTGGATAGACTTTTTTTAATAAATTCCCATGCAAAAGAAGAAGTCTTACCTCTTATTTGTATTTTTGGATTTATCCTTTCATGTGTGGGTGCCATAATGGCAAGAACTACCTAGGAAAGGAGTCATGTTGTTGTTATTAAAAATTGTTATTCTAGAACTTCTATTCATGTAAGCCTAATCATAAACTAGACATCCCTATCAGGATATTTTCGACATAATCAATTTATAGCAGAAATGTATAAACTCTGTTTATACAAGTATCACAAACGAATCCACGAAGACATTCAAGACTATGTTTTGTGTTCTTATTTTCTCTCATTTATGGGACTGGATCTAAATCTTTAAGGTGTAATGTGTCAAAAATATCTAATTTTCACTTGTATTACAAACACGATTAAATTGTGCATAGTGCATGCATATTTTAAACGACGAACATTACAAATCTAACATGAGTTTGTTATTGATATTTAACAACATTATCACATCACATGTTGTCGTAAGTTATCGACACAGTATTAGCTTTGAATGTGATATGATAAAAATGAGTTAAAAGTAAGCATAAAAGTTTAGTATAAACATGTTCTAATTGTGACTTCTCAAACTCACAAACCATTTTTATAGATAAAATGCATAAAGCTCAAATTCAAATTTGTGAAGTCGGTAAGTGGTAAAATTGTGGTGCTTATTATTACGAAGGCAATAACTTGGAGAAAAACTAAAAAGATTACATACAAAGACCATTGAAGATAAGAGACCTACATGCAAAAATTAATTTATTTTTTCGTTTTGTTTTTTTATAATAATTTGTAAGTGAAAAATAGACCTAATCAAAATCAAAACACTTAAATATCCTATATTTTATCAAGGACCATTCTGAAAGTGTTACATGGAGGAATACTTTAATTTAGAATGGAATAGTGAAAGTGTAGAGCAACTCGAGCGACCAATC